GTGCGCTTCATTCAACTCCTGTTTGTTAGCAAAACACAATAGAAGATCAGTCCACGAGAAGTCAAGAGAGTCATTTCCTTGCTAACAGTCAAGAAAGTGATTTGTGACATGCTTGTTGTGCTTCTGAGAGAATGCAGAAGGAGTTGGGAAGAACACAGTCTTCCTAGATGGGTCACTGGCTGGCAAAATTGGATTTTAGCCACATAATGTGTTCATAGTTGACCTATTTCAGTACATCACACATATGGGTTTCAATAACCAAGGATAAAGAGGAGAAAGCAATAATGATGACAGCTCATTCAGCTGGGAAACCCTCAGGCACAGGGTTTTTTCAGTCCTACAATCCTGCATCAAACCGTAGCAGAGAGCTCAGCAGAGGCAGAGCGTTAGCATGGCTCCCGGTCATGTTTATGGCCCTGGATTTCTAATCTGTCCACCTCTGCTCTGTCTTAAGACCTCAGGTGACCAGCTCTCCCCAGGTCTCAAGGGCCTGTCACATGTCGTATTACCTTCCTGTATATTTTGACAATTCTACCTAAATTCTTCAGTGATCGCTCTTAAGATAAACCCCAGCTAGAGTGTTTCAATGATACAGGGGCACTCTTACGTTACCAATCACCTTTAAGAATAATAACAGTGGCTCTATGCTGGGGACTGGGGACTGGGTACTAAGCACTACTGAATCATCCCCTTTAATCTTCAGAGCGCCACATTTTTAAATTTCCCTTTCATAGGTGAGGAAATAGGGGTTCTACAAGTGTAAGTGCCTTGCCCAAAGTTACATGGCTGTGAGGAAGCTGAACCTTGATTTAAACCCAGAACTCTTGAATTTCAAAATCAGTGGCCTTAATTACTCTTCATTTGTTTACTTGATTATTGTGGGTCTCTGCCTGTCAACTATTGTGCTCACAAGATACAGGATAAATAGCCAACATCAACTGTTGATATATATCCATAGAAAATGAATCATTCTAATAAATATGTTCATCACAGCACTATTCTCAGTAGTAAAGACATGAAATCAACCCAGGTACCCATCAACATATAAAGAAACTGTGGTACATGTACACCATTGAATACTATGCAGTCCTGAAAAAGAACAAAATCATGTTCTTTGTAGCAACATGGATGCAGCTGGAAATCATTATCCTAAGCAAACTAATGCAGAAACAGAAAATAAAATACTACATGGTCTCATTAATAAGTGGGAGCTGAACAATGAGCACTCATGGATATAAAAATTGGAACAATACACATTAGGGAATACAAGAAGGAGAAAGAGGGAGGAGGTAAGTGTTGAAAAAGAAACTGTCTGTTCAGTAAATTCTCACTGCCTGGGTAACAGATTCATTCATACTCCAAACCTCAGCATCACGCAATATGCCTCTGTAACACATCTACACATGTATTCCTGACTCCAAAATGAAAGTTGAAAAATGAAAAAAAAAATGGGATCAGATGGTCCTTACTCAGCCCTGTGCCTTGCCTGCCCCTGGGCTCCTGTGAGAGACTGGCCAGTGCTGTCCTTGCTCATGGTTTGTGCCAGGCTTGGATGTGCTTTCTGCTTGTTCACTTGGAAGAGGAGCTCCATGGGAAAGGGACGTGAGTATTTGCTTCACTTTCCTGTCCCCAAACACAGCACAGCACGGCCTAATAAAATGTGCTGAATAAATACTTGTTGAAAGCATAAATATAAAGAAAAAATATTTAAGCATGTGAATTATGAAATTTTTTAAACAGTACTAAGGGAATGAGATCAAATCTCCTATACAGCTAGTGCTTGACTTACAACCACTATTGGGACCAGCAGTCTGGTCGTAACATGATTTGGTCGTAAGTTGAGTAGGCTGTATGTACAGTTGAAATGGTGCACGCGGAGATGGTAGTGCTGCCGGAAGCTGGTCCGCACTGTCGTACGCCCAGCTGGGCAACGTTTGTGCTGCCAGACACGGAGCAGTCACGGCTAGCGATTGTGGTCATAAAGTCGAATGGTCGTAAGTTGCATAGGTCGTAAGTCGATCAATACCTGTATGTGAATTATGAAACTTTTCAAATGTAGTACTAAAGGAACAAGATCAAATCTCCGAGTAATACTTGTTCTTATTTTTTTATGAATAGAGGTGATTATTAACCTTGGTGAAATTCAGTGTTTTAAGTTTATCAACCTTGAATACACATATACATGCATTTCCCAATGTTGATGTATGGGAAGCACAAGCCATGCAGAAGCCCCAGGCAGGTGCTCTGATCAACAGCTCAAGATGAATGTCCAGCTGACACCAGCACCTGTGGCCAGCCACGTGAGTGAACCCTCACTGACGTCCAGTTCCATCAAACAAACCTCCAGACATTCTCAGCACAGAGACCTCTATGTAAAAACTACGCAGCTGAGTTCAGGCAGGAAATGTGAAAGGTGTTTCTTCCAAGCCGCTGGCTTTCTGGGTGGTTCGACAGCAGGAGAGAACCAGAACAGTCTGTTCACCGCACCTGCCCCCTCAGTGGTTCCCCTGTGTCCAGACACTCCATTGCCTAAGCTTCGTCACCCAAACCCTGGATGCAGTCACATCCTCAGGGTCTCTAACCACAGGTTCTTGACTTAGGGTGGCTGACGTGTTAGTGTCTGCCAAGATGCTCACTTCTTCACCTTCCTGTACTGACTGCTGCTCCGGCTGATGTCTGCATTCCCTTTCTCCTGGAAGCCCTCCCTAATGAACTCCCTCTCTCTAACAGCTGCAACTCCTTGAGGTCGGAGCCTGTCTCTTCCACTGTGATGCGCTGCACATAGCGGGTGCTGCATAAATTCAAGTTATATCAAATCTAGATCCCAGTCGGTACAATAGATTGAGCTTCGGAGTCTCCCAAACCTTCTTGCTACCACACTGGCTATTTTCATTACACAATCCAAAGAATTTAGCTTCAAATGCCACATCTCTCATTTTAGGTCAGAAAGTGTGAAATTTTAGCAATTACTCGGGAGGGACTCAGGAGAGTCTGGCATGACACGTGGTCTAATCCAAGTGGACCTGGTCAGAGCCTGCTGGAGGCTTTGTGAGCTGAGACCCCACTGTGTGCCTGGTTACCCTCCACTAGGATATGGAGTCTATTCACTAAATACTCCGACTTATTGTTTATATTTCTTGAGTGGGAACATGAGATTGTTGAAAACACACAGGTGATGAAACTCTGTGATTTTTTAGCCAGTACAATGTGGGAAGTTTTTCCTGTGTATTAAGAAATTAATTGGGGATGGGGCGGCTTGGTTTAAATGCAGCCATAGATCCTCATTCCTGGTTCACTGGTTCTCCACCTTCCAAAGCCGGCACACCACCTTTGAAGCCCAGCCTCAAACCCTGGAGTTTATCCCTTGTCCTTTGAGGATCCAAATACAAACAGCCTTGGCAGGGCACTAGTGCCCTGTCCTGCCTCCACTGCAAAGACCATGTGTTCCCTTTGTCCTCGTAGATCATTTGTCAAATTTTTCTCCAACCAAAGATTGGGTCAGACGTAGCCCCTGTGCAACTGACATGAGATCTACATATCTGTAAGTGGAAGAGCAAGCAGGCCACCCACTCTTCCTCCTAGTGAACCACTGGCGCAGCAGTTACATCTTTAGAGCCCAATTACACGCTTGACTACACTACCAAACATCAGTGCATCATCCACTCCATCTGAAATTAAGTTTTATTTAAACAGGTCAAATTTTATCCATCCTTTTAAAGCTAAAAATCTAAAGTCATTCAATGAATCAATAATGCGATTATAGCAGTAATCAAAATAGTGGTAACATTTACCAATATGAAAAAGTCACAGAATTCAAATCACACTTGGATCTTCAGTGATTCAGGTGTGCATCCCCCCACACAGCAGGGGCTGGTAGATTGAAGATGAATCCCTCCCATGCACGTGCCATCCCCAGTCAGGTCCTTCCTCTTCACTGTCCGTCAGCTCACACAATGGGAAGGCTGGCAGGCTTGGTGATTCCGCCGTTGATTTTTCAGTGTTTGGCCACCTTTTATGTAACCACACATGCCCCAGTCTTCACTCCAGCTGAAAGAAAAGGAGGTTTTCTGTTGCAGTGAAAGAATAAAGTCCATCGGTCTATTAATAGGAAGACCCAATTTAAACAGTGAGCCAGAGGCCACAGCCTTCATAGAAAGAATCAGGAGAGGACAATGTTTTTGTTCATCCTTTACAAATTCTTGAGTCTTAACCTACATGTAACTTCCATCCCAGATTCAAAACCGTGACCTTTTGCATAACTGCAAAATCAGAGGCAGAAAAAATAAGTGGATGTTTTCCATCCAGATATGTCTCAAGATTAAGAAAAATTTCAGAATTTAGCAATGCAAAGGTAAAGATACTACACTGATTCCGCTTGTGACAATATCCTAATGATATAATCACATGTTGCTGTTCCGTGTTTAACCTAAATAGGAGAAAGAATCTAAGACCCCTATCCAGAATACCGATTCTAAACAAGAATTCCCTTTGAATTTCAAATAGAAGTATTTTTAGCAATTTATACCTTCTCTTTACCAGCCAATATTTATTTTTATCCGATTCTGCTCCTTCATAGCCATGGCCAACCACCAAAAGAGCGAACTCCATTTTTATACGGCTGCACTTTGGCTCAAAATAAACACCTGGTAGAGTAATGCACCGGAGGGTAGAGGGGCTCTGCCTGCGGCTCCGTCCTCACCCGAACAACCTCAGGCCTGCAATGAGAGCTGTCGGAGCAAAGTGGAAACTCCTTCCTTCCAGGCTCCAGCAGTCAGTGGCTGAGCTGGGCCGTTGGGAGGGATGGTGAGGGCTCCACCTGCCAGGGCGCAGCTGGCCATGCCATCCCATCCACCCACAAGCTGGCCATGCCATCCCATCCACCCACAAGCTGGCCATGCCATCCCATCCACCCACAAGTTGGCCATGCCATCCCATCCCCCAGAAACATCTCTAGAGCCCCCAGTGATGGCTATGCTAAGCACGCAGTTCCTCAGGAGCACCCCAAGCTTACATAGGCCACCCTCCTGTCATAGCCTCCTCCTGATGCCACCTTCTGAGCAGGGCCAGCCCCTGCACTGGCCCAGTCCCACCTTCCTCCCAGGCCCAGGGTCCAGGCTGCCAGAGGTGCTGAAACCGTGGTGCTGCAAATGGAGATAAGAAAGGACGGGCAGGTGGGCCACACTTTCAGAAGCATCTTAGGGGCTTCTCCATTCCCCTCACATGCAGAGCCTCAGAGCAGGTACATGTCTCTAATACAGTTATCTCGGGCAATGACGGCTATAGGGTGTGTGTGTGTGTGTGTGTGTGTGTGTGTGTGTGTGTGTGTGTGTGTAAGACTAAAGAAGAAACAGAGAGTTGAGAAGGACAGGAGAGAGAGACCTGGAAAGAGGGAGAACCAGAGGAAGGGATCAGAAGGGGAAGGAGGAGGAGAGAGGAAAGAAAGGAGAGGGGCGGGGAGAGGAGGGGATGGACCCAATTAGGGAGAGAAGGAGAGAGAAGAGAAACAGAGAGAAGGTGAGAGAGAGAAACGGATCAGAAGAAGGAGGAGGAACTTCCTCGAGGCTTTCTCCACCATCTCTTAGAAATGTCCCTGGGGCTGCCTCTGCTGAAGAGGATGCTGCCAGCCAGCGGAGAGAGTGAGGGTGAAGGGCCGGGGGGTGAGACAGAAGCAGCTGAGAATCAGAATGTTCTATAATAGCAGCTTCAGCCGTGTGCCTAGAGCAGGGCCCAGAGCATGGCAGGCACTCCGTGAAGATCTGTTGGTCATCAATGAATTGAACAAGTGAAGGATGGATGAATGAATGCGGTGGGGAGCAGAATGCTTCCATCTACATAGACCTTCACTCCAGGCAACTGGGCACAGACACGGTGCTGCCAGCTTCCAGTGCCTGTGGGCATCAGTGGGTAAGAGCATGTCCCCTGTGTCACCCAGAGTACAGCCATATACAGGCTCCTATGGGGGAATATGGCAGGCTAGCAAAGAAGATGTCTCCAGGTGCCCCCAAATGAGGGTCCCACCCACACTCCACCAACCCAACCCTGGGGAAAACTCCACCCAGATCAGCTCAACAGCACGGGAGGCGAAGCCCTGGCCCTGAGCCTGATATTTTCAAGCCCCTGCAGGAGCTACTTCCTTTTAGGACAACTACAAGCCTGTCCCCAATGAATTCTAAACCACTCTTGTGTTTACTGGTTTGTTATAAACAATACTACAAAGGATACAGAGAGGAGACATTTAGGGTGAACTATGGGAAGGGGCGTGGAACTTCTATGCCCTCACTAGCTGCATCAGCCTTCAGGAACCTCCAAGGGTTCAGCTGTTTGGAAGCTCTCCCAACCCTGACCTGTTGGGCTTTTACAGAGGCTTCATTATGTGGGCATGAGTGATTAAACCACTGGACATTGGTGATCACTTCACCTTCCGCTCCTCTCCCTCACGGGAGGTTGAGGCCAAAAGTCCCAACCCTCTAATCCAGCCCTGGTCTTTCCAGTGATCTCTCTCATCCTGAAGTTCCCTAGGGGCCTTCAGCCACCAGTCAACTCGTGAGCATATAAAGGCATCACTGTGGAGATGGTAAGGATTTTAAGAGTTGTATGCCAGGAAACAGGGCCAACGACCAAATATGTATTTTACAATATCACAGTCTGTGTGTCCAGCAGCACCTGACACCATTCTCATTATTTTAATGTTTTCCTTGAAACAGTGAACAGCTCCAGCCATTTGAAAATTGAACACTGAGGCAGACGCAGATGGGCAAGGACTAGAGTGAATCAAATGGGAAGTCGTGCAAAATTTAAGGGGGGTCAGAAAAGTAGTCAAGATAATATTTTAATGCAATATTTCCAAGAACACAAATGTAGGCAAAAACTCCATGATGAACTTCAAAATATCAAAATTTTAAACAAAGATCAGCATGGATGATATTCAAAACTTCTAACCACAGAAATGTCATAGTCCATAGCCTCTAAAGAATCACGGCTTTTCTATGAATTATATATGAGGTTTTGCTTACATTTCTAAAAGACCTATGTTACTTCAAAAAACTTTAAAAGCTACTTCTTTAAGGGCAACATCGTACATTTTTGCAGAAATTTTAGGCATGTTGGCAAACTTCTGGAGGAGATATTACAGGAACAGAGAGAGATAATCCACAGATTACTCTTATTCCTCCAATGTGTAGTGAATAGTATGGTCCTGATATCCATTAGTACTAAACGGTGTGCAGTATTTTAAAATACTTAACATGTCAATCTAAAGAGTTGTTGCTGTCCTTAAGATTGTTTTCTTGGGTTGGGGTTTCTACAAAGACTTTGAGACAATGATTCCAGTTAAGGGGTTGCCTGATACGGGGAGGCAGCTCAGGTAAGAAGGGACAGGATAGGCTGCTTTGGTTGTTCAGTTTTTAAAAGCCTATTGGCTTCTTTGTGAATTTCAAGTGAGCTCTGGTTTAAACAGAGCCCGTGCAGCTTCTTGGGGAGGTCTGCGATCCTCTTATTCAGTGGTGAAGGGAGTGAAGATTGGATTCTTCTAAGGAAGGAAGACATTTTCGGTGTAGAGAGCTAATCGTTCATATTTTTTTCTTTCACTGTTTTTCCTTGGTGGTGACAGTGACTGTACCTCTAAGACTCTGTGTGTCCCTGAGGGGTCTTTTATTTTTTTTTAATCTCAAGGAAGTTATGGGCTGTGCCTGGATCTGGGCAGAGGGCTGAGGCCCAGCTGGCTGGGGCTGTGGGACTCTGGAGTTGCCCTCACTCACGGTGGCCCCTGGCCTTGGCACAACCCCTACCCCTGCAAGCCAGGGCTGGGGATATTGGGCTCTGCACATCCCAGGCTGACTGAGGAGCAGAGTCAGGGGCCAGAGACTACTTCTCTCCCTGATCTTTCAGACGGTCCTATCAGCCTCAAAGGGAGCTGTTTCCTTCCACACTGCTTCTTGAGTGAGGGACCCACACTGGCTGCCTTAGTTTCCTTGCCTTGCTCTCCTATCCTGCGGAAGCTGCTCCTGCCTTGACCTCTCCACCAGGTTCCTCTCTCTGTGCAAGCCGCCAGCTGCCCAGTGCAGAGTCCTCAGCCCTGCCCCCCAGGTCCTGGCTTTGTCATGGTTCTCCACTTCCTCTCCCTGAACGGAGCCCTCCCCCAGCTCTCAGGAGTCTCCAGCTGCTGTTTTCATCCTTCCTCTCTGAACACCTGTCTGTTTTTCTCCCCAGTCAGGTATTCCTAACTCAAATTCTATCCTTGGCTTTCATTTCTAAGCCATGTGCAAAACCTGCAGGTGTAAAGAAAAAAAAAAAAACACTTTTTTTTTGGTCAGAGATTTTAACCTCCTATCTGGCACTAATTAACAAATAGCTTCCCAGAAATATGCAACCTTGTACGCTCTCAGCAGCATAGCTTCTAATTCCAAAGTTAGTTGTGTCAGTATGCATTTATTTCTAGATATAGATCTTTATCTAGATACAGACATGCCCATAACATTTCCCTTGGTACTAGTCATTGGAAAGATCATGTCTTAGGGTTCCATCGTTATAGATACATCTCATTTCTCCAGGTGACTCATTTTCACAAAGGAGCAGGTGCCTGTGCACAGGGGTTTGGCAAGTTGGTAAAGTGAGAAGGCGAAGTGCACAGGGCATGGCAAGCCCCTGAAGCCCGAGAAGCTGCTGTGATGGGGACCGTGGGTAAAGGGAGATGGATCTGCAAACGGAGACAAGGCTGAGGTCATCCCATGCCCCGATGGCACTATAAGGAATTTAGATGTTAGTTTCAGTGACAAGAACCATTTGAAGATTTTTAAACAAGGGAACAACTTGAAAGGATTCATGTTAAAATGTAGATTTGATCTTTTTTTTTTTTTTTCCCCGGGGTTGCCAAGGTAGAGTGCAGTCAGTCTCGGCTCACTGAGACCCCCACCTCCTGGGTTCAAGCCATTCTCCTGCCTCAGCCTCCCGAGTAGCTGGGACTACAGGTGCACGCCACCACAGCCTTCTAATTCTTGTATTTTTAGTAGAGACAAGGTTTCACCATGTTAGCCATAATGGTCTCGATCTCTTGACCTTGTGATCCTCCTTCTTTGGCCTCCCAAAGTGTTGGGATTACAGGCGTGGGCCACCGCACTCGGCCTAGATTTGATCTTTTTAAGGGCACAGAGAACTCTCAAAACTCACTCGGGCAGCAGGATATTTAAAGGAGACCTGAGGAATGGCCAAGCACCCCAGCAAAAAGCGACAGGCCAGGATGGAGCCAGCAAAGCATGGTTGTTTAGCCCTGGGAAGATGGGACCAGCCAGTGGGGAGCAGTTGCTGGGCAGTGGGGGCTGGTTGGGGTGTCATGGATGAAAGAAGTAGAGGTAATCCAGTATAAAATGAAAGAAGATGTATTGAGGCTTGTTATTTAAATAGAGCTTGTTTAATCTGTATAAATACTACTGATGACATTTTGCTTATGTTTTTAGATTTTGCATGTTTCCATACAGCTGCTGCCCACATGACCCTTTTTTGTTCCCTCCCCTCCCCTCTCTTCCCTCCCCACCTCTCCTCTCCCCACCCCTGCGCTTATCTCCCCCTTTCTCCACTCCTCTCTCCTCTTACCTTTGGTTATGATTTTAAAGATTTTATCTTTTAAAGAAAGCCTTTGATTTCTGATTGCAATTTCTCCTAAATCCACTAGGTGGAAGTAAAGTATGTGATTTTATTTTTCCCATGCCATTGCAGTATGTTTTAGATGTAAATGGGTTTACATTAAATATGTGAGTTATCTTATTATAAAAGTGAAAGATATTTATTATATATCCTTTTGAAATTATCAAAAGTCAGAAAAATATGCTAAAATTAAACTGTATTGCCTATACCATATTCATAGCTAACCATTCTTTCTATGTAATTTATTTTAAATTTATATATTTTGTTGTTAATTGACATCATACTTAAAAAATTGTTGTTTCCTAATTTATTTTACCTACCAATGCATCCTAGACATTTTTCTATATTATTCTCAATAATTTGAAATTGTAATATAAAATTATAATTAATGTATATTGTGTATGCTTCTATACCTCCATAGATATAGTCAAGGTTTAATAAATAAGCATTTATAGTTACACATGTACGTGTTTGCCCACATCTCCGGCCCTTTGAAATATTTATTTGAGGGTCAAAAGGAATGGACATTTTTTGGACCCTTGATCTGTTGCATTGTTTGCGAAATGGACGAAACAGGTACCTGCTTGTCACATCTGTATCTGAGAGGCCCCTCCATCACATCACCCCTGCCCCGCCCCCACCCTGCCCCCATCCCCCGCCTCGCCGAATCTAGATCAGTGTCTTTTTGTTAAGTAATCTTAGTCTTCTGACTTTACTTCAAAAGGTGTAATGGTAAAAGAGCTTGGCCATATTCCTGCATGGACGCTGATGTGCTCAACCAAACTAAGTTTTCTTGGTTACGAATTCGCCAGAAAAATTTTTAAAAGTAAGAAGAAAGGCATTGGCCAGCAGATGGCGCCCTAGCATAAAAACAGAGGTAGATGAAGAAATACTGATTTTTCTTGCCATGATTTCTCTCTAAGCAGTGATTGAATTAGACATAAATATGCTGTAAGGAAGTTGTTAAGAATGAAAACAGCCAATGCTCAGAGTTAAGAAAATGCAATGGTTTAGCAGGAATCCATCCATGGGAGTACAGAAAGTTGAAAATGTTCAAAATTTAACAGTTGGCTGTGCTATGTTTGCCAGCTTAGTTAGGAGTTTCAGTGCTTTCCTAGTGAGGACCCAAGAGCAGTGATGAATCGAGGTCTTTATATCTAGTTAGGTCTCCTCAACCTCATATTTTCTGTTTTTTTGTGGGGCATTGTTCCTCCTACCATGACCCCAGGGCTTACACATATGCGAAGTGGAAAATCTAAGATCTGTGCTTGCAATATGTCTTCTCTGTAGTACAGGTATTATAATTACAATTTCCTTTCTTAAAGGTAGGGTAGGATCTAATAAAGGAGCACTATGGAGCTTTAAATATGATGAATATCTCTACACTTTCACTTGTAATCATGATAAGTTTTATCAGATCATCATTGTCTAGAGATACATGGGGTAGATGGATAGAATCTCTATATTAACATTTGCATCTTTGTGTAATATATGAACCACACATACTCATTCTAGGTTTTCTGGTTGTTCTTGGTGGCAATGGTGATCTGATAGACCTATTTTACCATGGTTACAAGTGGAAATCTAGAGATATTTATCATTTTTTAAAGCTTCGGAGTGCTCCCTTTTGTGGCTGTTCTACTAAATTCCCATTGGTGAGCACCTCTGCCTTCGAAATTTGGTCATTACAAACAAGCAAATGCAAATTTCTCAGTGCTTTTTTTTTTTTAGTGGTTTTATAGTTTTTTGAGGTATGACTGATACGCAAGAAACTGCATATATTTAAAGTGTACAATTTAAAAAGTTTTGACAGAAATACACACCTATGAATCAATCGCCATAATCATGACTGCTAACATAACTACATCCCCAAAACTTTCCTTTTACCTCTTTGTAACCGCTTCTTTCTCTTACTTTTATGGCCAAGCAATCATTGGCTGGTTTTCTTTCATTTTGAATTGATTTTGCTTTTCTCGAATTTTACATAAATGAAATCATACAGTACATGCCTTTATGTCTGGCTTCTTCCGCTTTTGAGATTCATTTACGGTTGCATGTATTAGTATTGCATTCCTTTGTGTCATTGTGTGATAGAGCACATTTTGTTTAACCTTTCACTTTTTGATGAACATTTAGACAGCTTCTATTTTTTTTTTTTTTTTTTTTTTGCCTCTCAGGGGAAATGCTTTAGAGTGGGATCACATTCAACTCTTTTAAAAATAAATTTTATTGTATATATTTAAGATATACATGATGTGGGGCACATATAGTCAGTTAAAAGTGTACTGCAGTGAAGCAAAGTAATATGTCCATCATCTCACATAGTTACGCATTTTGTGTGTGTGTGTGTGTGTGTGTGTGTGTGGCAAGAACTAAAATCTACTCATTTAACATGAATTCCATACATAGTACGATTTTGTTACCTGTAATTCTTATGTTTTACCTTAGATCCCTAGACTCATTCATCCTACATATTCACTACTTTGTATCCTCTGATCTGCATGTCCCCACTACTACTCCCCCGACCTCCATGGCTCCCTGCCCCCCACCCATTGCCCTGTAACCAGTGTTTTGTTCTGTCTCTGTATACTTCCATTTTTTTTATATAGAAAGAAAAACATTGCATCTCACTTACATGTAGAATTTTTTTTAATGTGAAACATTTAACCTTTTAATAAATCCACAGAAAGTTACTGATAGTGGTTGTGCTAGTTCACATTTCTACCAACAGAAGAGTTTGATCTTCTTTACCTCTGTTCCAATATGTGGTGTGGTCAGTGCTTTTACTTTGAGTATTAGGTGCATAGGACCCTCCCATTGTGGTTGTAATTTGATTTTTCCTATGATTAATGATATTTCATTTGCTTGATTGCAAAACAGTCATCTTTTTTGGTGAAGTATCTGTTTAAGTCTTCTGCCCATTAAAAGCAAATCGTGTTTTTTAGTATTGGGTTTGAGAGTTCTTTATTGTAGTGGGAAATCAGAGATCTGGAGAGACGGATGGGGTTGCAGGAGGATCTTATTTAATGGAATCACTTCCTAAGTCTGAGCAAAGGACTAAGAAACCGGGGTACCTTTTATGCACCTAGGATGATGCAGCAGGAAACGGGTTTGCAGAAGCTAGATCAAAGAACAGTTAATTATCTTATAACATGTCATGTGATATACTTTACATTTGAAAAGTAACATTTTGAGAAACACATTGTACAGTTTCTATCTGCTCCATGACCTAATTTTTAGGTGCCTGGGAACTTTGCTAAGAATGTGGGGAGGACAGATAAAGTTCAATGGTTTGCAGGAAGGCAGTTATTCTGCCTTAAACAGAACTGGGGAGGTATTATATTAAATAACACACAGCACAGCAAAATTTTACTTTATTATATAGCAACTACAAATTATAAGGTTTTGTTTTGCTATTACTATTATTTAATTTCCTTTGTCATTATATTTACTGAATAAACCTCTCTATTGTATATATGTTTTGAAAATATTCTCTTAGTCTATGGCTTGTCATTTCATTCTCTTGATAGTATCTATAAGAGTATCCTTTGAAGAACAGGCAGTTTTAATTGTGATTAAAAACTAATTTATCAAGTTATTCTTTTATGGATGCTGGTTTTGGTACCATATTTAAGAAATCTTTAAGCCAGGGTCACAAAAGTTTTCTCTTTTTTTTTCTAAAATGTTCTATATGTTTACAGTTTTGGTCTGTTAATGATTTTGAGTTCATTTTTTGTAGAGCAAAGTATGGGCCAATTTTTCTCTCTTGTGTATGGATATAAAATTATTTCAACATGATTTTCTATCACACTGTCTTGGTTACTGCAGTTTTATAATAGTTCTTTGAATTCTATATTGTGATTCCTCTGTCTTTTTTATTTTTTATTATTTTTTTTATTTTTGAGTCAGAGTTTCTCTCTGTCACCCAGGTTGGAGTGCAGTGGCATGATCTTGGCTCACTGCAACCTCTGCCTCCTGGATTCAAGCAATTCTCCTGCCTCAGCCTCCTGAGTAGCTAGGACTACAGGTGTGTGCCACCACACCTGGCTAATTTTTGTATTTTTAGTAGAGACAGGGTTTTACCTTGTTAGCCAGAACGGTCTTGATCTCCTGACCTTGTGATCCTCCCACCATGCTAGGATTACATCCCCTATCTTTATTCTTTTTTCAGGTTGTTTAGGATGGTCTAGATTCTTTATATTTCTAGATAATTGATTTTTGTATCTTGTATCCTGAACCTTGTTAAATCACTTATTACTTTTGTAGAATTGTGTATTTCATTATTTTTTTTAAAACATAGACAGTGTTTCTGTGAATAATGAGAGTTTTATGTTTTCCTTTCCAATATAAATGCATTTTATTTATTTTCTTACTATACTGGCTGAAACCTCAAGTGTAATGTTGAATAGAAGTTGTAAATGAGGACATACCTGTCTTGGCATGATTTTGAAACCAAACCAAGATAAATTTGTGTGTGTGTGTGTGTGTGTGTGTGTGTGTGTGGTTTGTTTTTATAAATAATCATATAAATTGACTTCCTGCTCTTAAAGCTTGAAACTTTTGTTTTATCTGAGTTTCTTCCATGGGAAATGACTTTCAGGTTTCTCAAAAAAGGTGTCAAAGAACTGAAACTTAACAGATCACCACATCCAGATAATGAGATGCTGGACCTCTCATTCA